GGACCACAGCCCAACACACAACCATGACACTGCCAGGGCTCCAGAGGGCAGCATTGGCGTGATGGAAACACCCAGGCTTCTGCTCCATGGTGACCTAAACCAACCCTGTTATAGACAACAATCAAATGTAAAAAGGTGGTGGCTGCCAATTTCTCCTGTGTTTCATCGGAGCATTTATTTTCCCAAGCGTGATTTACATTTTGAGTCTGCGTTCCATAAACGTTCACACGAGCATTTGGTTACACCCTATATCGACCGTGCCCATCACAGGAAAGAGAAGCGCTCCCCTGAATGTGCAGCCCTAGTTGATAAAGCCCTGGACGTGTTCAACGCAGGCTCTGAATCTCAGGACGGCCACTCCTGGCTCCCCGCGGCCGGGTGTAAGCCTGTGTACCTCCTGAGAGTCAGCCACTGCAAACGCTCGCCTGGTCTCACAGAAGCAAGCCCTTCGGAAGGAAAGGAGCCATCCAGCCCAGCGGGAGATTCCTCAGACAGCAGCGTTTCACAGACGGAGGACCTGCCGGCTCGGTGGCTCAGCACACCACTCTCACTGACCAAAAAAGCGAGCCCTTTGAAGCCACCAGCCATAGCGCTGGAGAAAGGCGTCTCCTGCCGGAAAGACGCGGCCTTGGATACCCTTTGGGGCAGTTCTACCCTGTCCCATCGGGCCAGCACGAGTGGCAATCAGCAGTAACGGGTTTGCTTTCTAATTCTGGTCAATTCAGAAAAGACTGTATTCAACACCACTTTTAAAGAAACGCAGTCTGTCTTCTGAGGGGCAATGTTCTATTTAACCAAAGGCACAGGGAATGGTGAAGACCAGTTTGGGTACTGGCCCAGGGGGGTCCAGGTGTGTGTCACAGCGCCGTCATCGTCATCTCGGTCCAGTGAGCTCCCTGCTATGGCATGGCCTGTCTTAGCACGCTGATGGTAGAGCAATCAATGTCTTCCATTATACCAAAGTACTTCTCTTTTTACCTAGTGCATCGTTTTTCATTTTACAGATTAAAAAACACCTCTGTTAGAAAAGCCATGTTGAAGACGTGAACTCCTTTCTAATTTTTACAACGTGAAAATGACCACCCGGTCCAAGTGACTAGCTTCTTAAAATCCCCAGGAGCCAGCTATCCCAGCAGACACCACTCATTCGTGTGTCTTCCGAGTGTGAGAGCGTTTATCAGGATTTCAGCAAAGACCACCTGACAAGAGTCTTATTGTAGAGCCTGGCTTCTCCCGAATGCAGGCCTGAAGCTAAGGTGGGGGGGGTGCAGGTAGTTTATTTGGGAGGTGACTCCAGAAAGCCCTGGGTGGAAATAAAGAATTGAGACAAACTGGGGTGGGGTGGGGCTCTTCTCTGCAGGCACCCGGGGCTCAATTACATTGGAGACCCCCAGAGACACCATCTAGGAAATATTTCTGAATTCTTCTGCTGATGGGGCCAGGGAGCTAAGTATTCCGCCATCTCCCCATCCTCCTTGGTCGATCCTCAGGGCTGATGCCTTGACATGTCCTGTCTGCCCTGCGAGGAGAACAAGTACTCTCAGAATGAGAGTGCCTGGGGACCACGCTAGACGGGGCAGGCCCGCTCCCTGGCGAGGGGACTTCTTCAGGAGGGTGACAGAGCGTTCTGGAATGGCACAGCTCTGTGAGCACGGTTTTTAGTAAGCCGTTGAACTGTGCGCTTTTAAAGTGGGGGGG